TAATTAGATTGATATTTCATATTGTGAGTTAATTACAATTAATAAAATTTACATTGGCGCACACATTGATTTATGATAATTTTGCTTTCATATCATCAATGATGATTATTGATTTAATCATCAAAGCCATTAAGGACGCCAACCAAAGGTGCCCTGTCATTTATATCTTATCTAGCGAATGAGGAAGGGATGAAAAGAATGCGTCGGAGATATTTTAACGGAGTTAAGTCGTCTTGTTTAATACCGCTCTATTACGCAAAAGCACCGTCGACAATGGCTGGGTCATTATGCGATAATAAAACGCGGATTACCGGAGCGTGCATTGTTCTCTATGCAATAACAATTTCGCTTAAATCGCATGCGAAATACACTCATCAAAACGAGGTAAAACGACCTCTTCAAGGGCTAGTAATTGCATTGTATGCGCCCGTTTCAGCGGATTTCTGACATGTATGCTTCGTCGATCGAAACTATAGGTTAGTTTAACGCGATATTCATGATAAACAATGTCTAATATATTATGCGTTTGCCGCAAAATATAAACTAATCGCATTAGTTTCGCAGCCTTCATGTATAACGCGTTATGCAAACGGCTGAAATCACAACGCGTCTAAATCTATTATTATTATGCCAGCGTAAATTAATGATTTAATATTTGACACATGAGAATGTATACCGACAAGCTCTACTATGGTAGAATAGCCGTTGTATAATAATATTGAAAGATTATTTTATAAAACAATTTTTCTGTAGTTGCCGTATAATTCGTATATTCAAAAATTGATATTTCTCCATTCGTATATAATAATATAAACTATACGTATAAAAAAAGTCCCATATTTTCTGCATATAATCATTTAAAAATCACTTGTTTAATATAATTTACTTTTAGGAACTTTTTATCTCTAATTTTTTTTTTTTATATTGGACAAAACATACTAGCGATATTTGAAGAATTAAACATGAAATACATATGCGCAAAATAAGGCGATAAATCGATATATTCACAATGCGCAGTTTCCTTCCGCTGTAGGAACGAATTTTCGTAAATTTATCTCCATACTATTGACGCAAAGAGGGAGGAAAGAACGATAATTCATGGAAGGGAGTAATTGCGTCCTGATGCGCGCTTAAAAATATTTAGAACGATGCTGGCGAGGCGAGGGTGCGAGTGGTTTTTAATATGGCTTTATTACGTAGGTGGTAACGAACCGCCGGGAGGCCATTATGCGGCGATAAAATGCGCAATGCCCGTTGCACGTACATGTCGTTTCGCGTGCACCCCGACACGGACAACCCCGTGCCGTGATACGCTCATGCGCACGTCGGAGATGGACCGGGCCGGATGAGGCACGCGTTCGCGAGATAACGCCCGCGGTCATGTAAAGCATTACGCCATGGTCGCCATGGCTACGCAAAATTCAATTCCGCCCGTGGAATCGAACATTAGGCGCGCACGTAGCCGCACGAGATTTTTGAAAAATTGCGTTACGTCCGCGAGAGTACGAACGTACGTAGCTCGTGTTCGCGTTTATCTTCCTCGACTCTCGATGACCTTTTGATTGAAATCGTTAATTCTTCTGTAATATGGTACAGTGATGGCAACAGTTCTTTTCGGTCGACAATGATATTTTTAATGCCACATAGGGATATGAAAGAGTTCACGAATCTTGTTAGCTTTAATAGCTAAAAAGAAATATTATAGATAAACATGTTGCACACGCATAGACGCGTGTCGACATCTCTTAAAACTTGTTACCCAGAAGGGAGCATTCTTTTCTCGCCGCGGCGATCCAATAGTCGGTGAAGTCGGTGACAATTTTTCTCTTCGCCAGCCAGGTCGCTTGTAATACATGCGACACCCGGCACCTTCCACTCCGTCGCGTTTATCCTTATCGCTCCCGGAATTTTCTTCCAACGCGAGTCCGCAATTCTCGCCCTCACGAAGGGATTCGGGCACATTCGTGTCGCCATTTCTCTAGCTGGCTGCGGAGGACAGGGCGGGCGGTGGAAGTGGATAGGTATTCGGGGTTGGTTCTCTCGAAACGCAAGGGTTGAGAGATGGATGAACGATGTTGTGAGGTACGTCAAATACGTGTGCCGTATTTTCCGGAGAGTCGTGGCCTTCCAAAATGTTGGGTGTCGTTGGCGTAGGCGCTGAAAACAGCCAGTCGGGAGTGGATGCAGGTGGTGGTGGAGAGGAAGGAGAATGGATTTGGTTATGCGTCGCCACGTCTCGGCTGGATTTGTCGCCGTCACCTTCTACCGGGGATGAGAAACTCGGTGGAAAAGAGGAGATCCCGCTGTACCCCCCTCGAAACAACTTTGAGAGAGACCGAAACGCGATGAAAATTTTTTTTCCTCCGTTTCCTCCTCCCGCGGAATAGTTGAGCGTCGTTCGGGAAAATGTCAATTGCATTGTGACTGCGCTAGTCATTGTGCCTGTCGAAGAAAAGTATAAATTTTGGGGAATTCGATAGCTCTTTTTACGAATATCCTCGAATATGCCGTTTTATAGATAGATAAGACTTATGATTATATGCATAGTGATATTTGTAAATTTGGAATAACTTCGTATTTATTGCTGATCGAGAGAGAGAGAGAGAGAGAGAATATATTAATTCTGCAAATAAAAATCTAGAGATGCTTTATATATTCTATATTATTTTAAAATGTGATTTCTATCGTGCAATATATAAACGATTAAGAAATAATATTATTCATCTTAATTTAATATTTTTTAATTTTTTCTTAATAAGCATATCGACGAAAAAAGTATTTTCGTGAAAAGTGAAATTAACACAATCTCGCGATGTAATCTGTTACATTTACTTCTCAGACGCAGCACGTTATACGGGTGAGAAAACACTAGATTTAAATTACAACCGTGCCTTTTGCGCAAACTCGCAAACAGACATGGCAATGTAAAAACAGCACTTTGTAGAACCGAGGATTCCACCTCTTTTTCGGATTTATGAAAGTCGTGGGAGGGCGACGTGTTAAACGTTTCTCTCTGGGGTTTTATACACACATTTGTATTACTTTTATCTCGACGGCCGTGTTGTGAAATATACTCGCGCATCAGTTCCTAGATGCAGTCGGATATGCTCGACAAATTTCGTACCTTGACAAAAATAATAGAAGATCGTATTTCAGCGTGAACTCAAAGTACTTTAGAACGGACGTATCTAGATCGCGACAAGAGACACGTCTGCACGGACACTCTGAAAATCTAAATCAAGGAGACAAAACCCTTTACGCGAGCCATAATTTTTCTCATTATCCCTTAAGATTTATTAAACAAAGATAAGATACTTCTCTGCTTATATATCAGAATAAAGAGTACAAATCTTTTATTACACAAATGTTTTCGCGAACTTATCTTTTTATTTCGAAAAACGACACGAAAATTGGTTTATGTTGTTCAATTATAATTTACAAAAATCTGATTATAAACTATAAAAAGTCAAACGAAAAGGGGATGGTGCGCTGTATTAAGGTGGAAATCATTCGCGAGGTCGATGAGTCGCGTTACGTCGTGCAAAAGCGGCGCAATGCTAGCCACCCTCTGCTTGACGGGGTTGCGATTCACCAACGAGTACGGGGTTCGCAGTCGTTCGTTCCGGCGGCCTCCGATTCAACCCCCACCGCAAGCCGCTTCTCTTTCCGCGCCGCAGACTCCCTCGGCTTGTTAATCTCGCTAACGTTGCGCCACAGGTGGTGACCTCGCATTGTCTCTTCTCCGCCGTAGCCTCATCAACGTCAGCCACCTTCTATATTACCGAATGGATTATTTACGGACTTAATAACGCGTACGGTCTTTCCCTTCGACCGACATGCAGTAACCACCTCAACGCGCGATTCTCTAAAACAATTCTCATATATCGCGAATCAATTGTTTAAATATATTTCAGGGTTTAACGTTTTCTTTTTTTTTTTTATTTATTATGTTTGATCGCACGACAATTCGATCCCAGGAGATTATCTCGGATTCGCGATGTGGGAATGGATTTATTCACGCGACATATAGTATCTATTGTACAGTTGGACATGAATTCCCGTCGTCGTCGGCGCGCTTCGTCGCAGTTAACGATGTTAGATACTACTCATCTCCTTTGATAGCCTGTTTAGGAGGATAATAACGTCCAATTCTCTCGTATCATCCCGCGGAAATCTATTGAATCACATTTGCTCTACAAGCTTGCGCCTATCGCGTTACGTTTACTATCATGCGATCAAGGAAGGCTCTTGGATCATAACATTGAACGAACGAGCTTTCTCAAGTAGGGAGCCAATACTCCGCGGTTTCGCTTATCTCTGTGCAAACGGGTATTATCCAGCATTATGCTCTGCGCAAACTGCCGATTGACAATGGCTGTTTGTCGTAACTAAATAGATGTGATTTATAGCAGATATATGGTAACGTTTCCTAGAATGATATATGTATATATATAATAATCTTTAATCTTTTGGAATCAAAAGTAATGTAAGAGGAAAATCTAGGATTCTACACATATACATATTTATAAATTATAAATTTATAAAACATAAATTTGACGCAGAATATTTTTTTTTTAAATTCACAAAACAAATATCTTAATTTGTCTAATATCAGTTTTTTAAACTTTTATAGTTCTAACAAAAAAGATATTTTGGCACTTGTAACGCAAATATCGAGCTTAATACGCACGCACACATATCGTTATTGAATTTTCGAGTCTTTTTAAAAATAAATATAACAATAGACATTCATCTTATATTACCATATACTTGTCATACTTGTTCTTTATTTACGCATAATTATTTTATTAAAAACTCTGCAAAGATATTATGAAATTTTTTGTTATGCTTATAAATGATCGAAATTGCCATCTGTTTATTTTTACCTTATCTTAAATGTCAAAGTACATTTTGCTAAGATTAGAATTTTATAGTGACACACCGGAGGATTAAGCTTTCTACCAGATTAATTTACGTGATTTTTCTTCCTTCTGTTTCAGGAGAGAAGCCATACAAGTGCAGCTGGGTGGGTTGCGAGTGGCGATTTGCGCGTTCGGACGAATTGACGCGCCATTACCGCAAGCACACCGGTGCGAAACCGTTCAAATGTCGGCATTGCGACCGATGCTTCTCCCGCAGCGACCATCTAGCTCTCCACATGAAGAGACACGTGTAATCAATCGTTTCCGCGAACGGTTCCAACCGCGCGTCACCCGCAGTCGGGATTATCGGGACTTGTTCCTCGTGAAAATCGCGGAAATCTTTGACATCTACGCGAGGATTTATGCAATCTAGCATCTTCCGAGATCACCTAATAGCATGCTGCAAATAGAGAGAGAGAGAGAGAGAAAGAGAGAGATTGATTGTCGAATGTCTGAAACTTCACGAACAAACATCAAAGAAATCTGCAAAGCTAACTGCATTAGGTGATCGCAACAAGACATCAGACTCTATCATTGATGAAAATTGGTCCTCGAATATTACTATTGAGGAAATCGATGATCCGCGAGACGCTATTTAGAGGTAATTTGAAAATCATGTCTAAAACGATCCAAAACAACTGGGAAGAAAATTTTACCAGCGATCGGACGGTGTGCTTGAAAACGTCACTTCATCGAAATCCAAAGAATCGCGTGTATAACGACGTGCGTTTTCAAAGTGTGCTAACGTGTAAGAACGAAAGGTAAAAAAAACGAGCGATTATGTTCATCTTTAAGGGCCAAAGGAATAGCACAAAGCTTTGGTCCTCGAATTTCCGTGAATTCGAGGGGACCGAAGAATCGCGACGGTCAGCGATGATCCAACAAAGAGACTGCAGCCAACGTAATATAGGAGGCCTCCGACGAAGGGAATAGCTGAATAAAGAGTTGCCCGAGAAGTCTCGCACGAGAGACGTCAATCACTGCCAATTCGTTACATTCTAAGATCAGCGCTACCGTCGAGGAGTTCAAGCTATGACTTCGTAATCGGAGGTCTTCGAAAATGAGAAACGAGAAGCTGACCGGGAAAAGCCTAAACAAATTTTCGCCGAGCCTCAAATCGTTGCCACAGCGCGCAGTAGCGAACGGATACTCATTCTCTCGTGAATGAAAATTGTAATATTGAATAAAAGATACGCTCCTACGCCACAAAAATCGTTTGCCTTTTCCAAAACGATTGAGTCGACGATCGTCATATTTATATCGCATCGAAATGATCCGAGTATCGTCGATCGTATTGCGAGTGTCGTGTCGCACGTATACTAAAAACTATAGAGAAAAAAGTAGATTTCGCGAGGACAATAATGCAGAGACTGTTGGTGCCAAATGTTATTTCCTTTCTCTTGCTTTTCTTTCAGAAACTTCGCGTAGCTACTCGCGGTTAAAATCGCGTGCGCGCGCGGCACTCGCGGGACCGTCGACGATCTCTCGGTATTAACGGAATCGCACGCAGCGGAGAGTCGCGAGTAACGGACGCGACGCGTGGTAATTGAATACGTGATTTCGACCAGTTTCGACGGCAACGGGATTTGCTGCGCCAGGTGCTAATCCTGAATTTACAGTGCGAATTACAACGTGGTCTGTTGCCACTACCATACAGTACCGCTTGCAACGAAGCTTACGAATGCGAGAACCAATTGTTTTGTTTAGATCTATACTTTATGGCTGATTGTCATTAAATGCCGCTTTCAGCTTTCAGGTAATTATAGTTATTTTTAAGTATTCATTGTTGACGCTATCTTTTTTATTCTTATGAAAAGAAATAATTTTTTCTCGAAATTTGCATGCTTTTGGAAAGACTTTTTCTTTCGTGATCTCTTTTGCTTGTAATATTATGAAATATCCTCGAGTAAGGGAATCATTTGTCGAAACAATCATGATGAAAAACTTAGCAGAAAATACAAATATATATATTTTTTAATATTCTTGTCATATAATCATTGAAACAATGTAGATAAAGAAATATATACGGGCAGTGTAATCCATATAAGATTTTTGTGCACTTCTTTTTTCACGCAACCGAACATTCCACGAGTGATTTCCTATCTCGCGTATAATTGACGGCATTTTATCAACTAAGAAACCAGAAGACATCATTTTTTATCAACTAAGAAATTAGTTAACTAGATAATTAATTTTTCTCGAAACTACGCACTATCATCCTCGTTTGGCTTTTTACTAGCTTGGAAAATTTATATTTGTATTTATATTATTTTGTATCCGCGAGCGCGTTGTTCTACAAGATACGATCATCAGTAGAAGATTGTTCGTCTCGCTCGTCATCGATCTAAGAGGTCCCGATATAACGATATGTAAGATATATCGCGCGCAGAAATCGAATATTTCGGCGACGATGCCGAAAAAGAAAATACACGAAAAAGATTGAGATCATTGCGACGTGCACTCATCAAAAAAAAAAAAAAAGAAGATGTTAACTTCAAGAAGACTAATTTTACCTGATGTTAGAGGCAAAATAGGGAAGATGAGAAATGAAGATAACTAAATTTTAAATGTTCAGTGGCCAAATAAATTAATTAATATGCACGTAGAACCTAAAGAGTGAGTAAGCCCGACTGACGGAGTGTCGGCACGGTTCGTACGAATGCATGTGCATGCGAGTGTGGCTGTGTTATGTTTGCGTGAGTCGTCGATGCGTGCGTGTATACGTATCTGCGTGTAAAGGTTGTATGTACGTGCGTGTGTATTTTTTTCCACGGATATTCCAAACCTGAAAGGTAAGGAATCCAAAGGAGGAGACGAGCAGAACACTGAGTTTGTATATCGTGCAATTTTTTCAATGTTTTATTATTTGTTACCATTGTTCACGATTAATTATAAATAAATAAAAATAAATAAATATATATATATATATATGTAGCACATTTACAATTTTAGAATATAACGGTCATGAAGCCAGACGTCTTTTTGATAGATATATTCGGATACCGTGGTCGTCGTCGCGTTCGCGACATCCCCCCTACCCCCCCACCCCCGATCTTTTTTTCTGACGGGCAAGATGTAATTAAAAGTACACATAGTACAAGAGAAAAGAAATTACCGCGCGTGAAAGATGCGAAGTCTCGTCTTTGACCTCGACGGCCTCTCGTTAAATTCCATACCGGCCGCTGGAACGAAAGTAACAGAAGATAATTGTCGTTACGACTTGTTAGAGCCAGAGTCCACGCATGTATAATTTGCTCTCAGACTCGTGCACCTAGGTTCGTATTTAGGCGTAGTGGAGAAAGGATGACGAGAATTGATACCGTGAAAGAAAAGACACTATCCGGACGAAAGATCTGTATCGTCAGGACGAGTGTTTCCAATCGAGGCGACCAACGAGCTCTGTAGATATATGTATATCGCTAAGCGAACGGTGCGAACACGTCGTTTTAAAACGAGATTGAAAATAAAGGCGCGTGCAATTGCGTGAGTAATCGACAAGAAACGGGAAGGGAAGAAAGCGCGAATACTTTGAATAAAAAAAGTAGCTAGACGTTTAGATAGGTAGATGGATAGCTAAATCGTTAGATAGGCACTTAGATAGACAGATAAATAGATTGACGAACGGGAATAGAGCGTGTGCGCCCAAGAGTGCTTGAGACGAATAGAGAGAGTATTCTATATATATATATGGTAGGTAGATGGTTATACACATAGGTAGAAATATAAGTATCTAAGAAAACTCTAAGAAACTTTAGGAGAAGCAGTATCGTTGTACGCGGTACGATAATTGAACATAAGTGTTTTATGATACTTGCGTACAAGAAAAACGAGATGATTACTAAAGAATAAAAAATAAAAGCATACATATAAAATTAAGTGCTAATAAAAAAAAAATTGAAAAACAGTACGATTATAACTGTATTATCGTGGTCTAAGATATTTTCAGTCATGTTGTATAATAATTGTAAATTACACGACTTTAAAGAGAAAGAAAGAATGTGAGAAAATAATCTGAAAGATAGAGAGAGAGAGAGAGAGAGAGAGAGAGAGAGAGAGAAAGGGAGAGAAAATGATAGAAAGAGTAAACGTGAAAAGTGTTGCGCGATTCGTGCTAGATTAGCTTTACGTGGAAAAAAAATGAATCGAAAAAAAGATCATTGATAAAACGAATGGGCGACATCGGTCTCGAGTCTCGCAAAATTTGTATAAAAAACGTCCCCGGAGAATTAAAGGCGGAATGAGCTGATGGAATGCGTACTGAGAAAGATATGTAAGGAGCTCCCTTTTAATAATAATGTTAATAATAAATAACAAATACTCGCGGTAACAGGGCACTGCGACGAGCGCGTAGATGTAACCACGTAAATTTTGAAGCACTTATCCCCATAGGATCGGAAAGAAAAGGAATTTGATGTTATTATTATATAAAGTTACGAGAAAGAAGAGATTTGTCGCAATTCAAGACGTCTGTTATAATTTTATTAGATGCGATAATTTTGAGTATTTCCTTACCAATGATATTTATCTTTTTTTACTCTTTCTATAGCTTTTCTACACGAGAAAGATTTTTATTGCCGTTTTATTTTTAGAAATTATATCTTTTCTTCTATCGTTTCTATATCGAAAAAACGTGAATTATATTAAATTTCAGTTTATAAGCCATTTTTTCTCTTTTACATGTGTATCGCGGACGTCATGTATTGCCAAATACGTATTCAAAATGCTACACTGATAACTGATAGAACTAATATTATTTTTGGGGAATTTCCTCGTTAGAGAAGAGTTAAATAGGTAATGAAAATGATTACTATTAATACTGATATAAGAATTTTATGAAAAAAGACTTAAAAAGAGAACAGCGAGAGAGGGAGATAAGAGAAAGAGAAGTAGAGAAAAAACTTGAGCAAGAAAGAAAAAGAGAGAAAGAGAATAATGATGCAAGTAAATATAGAAGCACAAGTGGCAATATGTGAATGAACTTAGAATGTGTGAAAGTGAGAAATGGATGAGAGTAAAAAACGAGAGAGAAAGAGAGACAAGACATGTGAGAGCGAAAGATTAACGAGAAAGATAAAGATGATATAACTTATATTTTTAAAAAGTGACCTTTGGCATTTAAAGACTTGTAAAAATCGTGCAACGAGTTAAATAAACAAACAAAATCAAGGGCGCAGTATATTAAGAGGCGTCCGTCCTTTTCCGTGTCTCTATTTCATGTACATGATGCACATACACATACATAATATACACAAACACATACTACACATATTACTCTCGCTCGATGAAATACTCGGATACAGATGCAACTTAATTAATCCTGAGACATTTTTTCTAAACTGCGATATATTGACATACCTATATTTCTAAAAGTTGTCAAGCGCATGTACAGATACACACACAAGATAACACGAGGCCCGAAATAAAAAAAGAATCCATAGACACAGTCAAATGCACCCGTGCTATTTAAATATGAAATTGAAATGTCGCAGAGAGGGGAGAGGGGGGGGGGGAAGGGAGATAAATAGAAGATAGTGAAAAGAGTCGAAAGTCGAGTGTGGGAAAAGTAAAAGAGACATGTAAATGGATTCCTTTAAAAAAAAAAAAAAGCATACATCTTACATAAGATACAGCCAATCAGTAGACACGTATACTAATAGGCAGACGATTATCTCGGGGCCTACAAGAACAAAATTGATTTCGGTCAATGTGATTCTCGTGCCTCGCTCGTGCGATCGCTTTCGATCATCGCGAAAATCGAGTTTCCTCATTTTCGAATCGAAATCCTAATGTAGAACGCGACGATGAGTAAAACCCGTTGAAAAAGTGACGCGATTGATAACGTCATGTCGGGGATGAAACTTTTTTTCGCGATGAGGTATCGAGCATCAAAGTGAAGACGGAAGAAAATGAGTCAACAGATAGTCACTAATGTCATTCAACAACATTATTCATGGTAGGATAGCATTTTTAGGGATTTTATACAGGCATGCGACGGCGTTCTATGTTTTAGCCGAAATTTACTACCAATGATTATTGACGTTTCTTCGTGTATGTATGTATATCGAATGCGTGGACACGTAACACACGTGTAATAAAAAGTAAAGTGAACGAAAAGGATACGATAAGGATGATTTTTGAGAGAGTGAAAGACAGCAAAGAGAAAGAGAAATGGAAAGGAAGAAAATGCAGGAAAAGTGAGAAACAAATGCAAGTCAGCAAAGATCATTTTTTCAGAATTCTATACCTTTCGTATATACATTTCTATTTATATAACTGTGCATATTAACGTATTATGATAATGTGATTTTTTTTTTCTTACATGTAATCCTGAGCGCGGAGAAACGTGGAAAAGAATGATTAAGGGAGTATTTTATATTACGAAACAAAACGAAAACAAAAAAAAAAAGATGCGAGTGAAAAAAAGAGAACGAAAGAGAACGAATGTGAGATGTAAAGCGATAACAATTCTTATAATCGCAGCTTTTTTGCCACTGAAGTATATAATTAAAATAAGGAATGCGCTTGCACAGTTGTCGCTCTTTTCTCTCGATGTCATTTCTTCTTCTTCTTGGTCTTCTTCTTCCTGTTCTTCTTCTCATGTCGCTACGACCGCTATTTTTTCGATGTTTTCGTCAAAATGAATGATGACCATCTGCATATATTGTGTTCTAGTATCGTTTACTTATCTATCAGTGTAAGGGATACAACAACGAAAGAAACATCATCAATAATTACGCTACTAAAAACTCATGTACATTCAAGTATATGATCATTATCAGTAAATGATCAGCTTTCTATGTGATGTCGCACTCTTTGCTTTATGCAGACATCACATCATTATCATCTTCGAAAAGCCGGATGATTATCAATCATCTTGTTGAAAACAAGCATCGTTTTGCATTTCTTGGGGCTGTCCATCGAAAACCGATGCGAGAACTTTCCAATCGCTTCCCACCGTCGCTCTCGAAAAATATTCGCTCTCATATCCCATACGGCACTGCGTAAACACGCTTCCCGTCACGAGTCGTTCGTACGTATCGATTGCCACGTGGGAGATGCGTCTACGTGGCTGTGCATAATACCGTGCACGCGCCAGCACGCGCAGGAGCTTAAATCTGTCTACCAAATAATCTATTCATCGGGATATATATATATATAATTGTATATTGCTTTTTTTCTTTTAAATTTAGTAATTTATTTTCCCTTTCGTGTGCTACAAAATGAGTGTCATAGACCTATCAGCGAAGGAAAGTCGATAGTCGCGCGTCGCGCGTAACACCGAGCAAAACAAACGCAAAATGTGTATTGTATACGATTCTAGAAACCTGACTGTTTTCGACAAACTACGCAGACTACGTAAAAAAAAGATTGAAAAATATACGTATAAGAAAGAAAAAGAGAGAAATACATCTTTCCAAAGTTGAGAACTAACCACTTGCCGCGACTCTCAAAAGTCGAGACGCGCTGGTTTACTTCGAAGACTCGACGTTTTGTACAAGGTGTAGCGAGCTCGTATAACGAGCGTAGTAGGTGATCACATGTGATATTTGTGTATCGGCTATTATATATATATAAATAAATAAATATATATATATATATATATATAAATATATATGTAAATGTATATTATATTAGAGTACTTTGTTAGGATATTATGGCTGGTAGTTAGAAAAAAAGGATATAAAGAGATGAGATGAAGGAAAAACAGGGAGAGAGAAGAGAAAGACGAAAGCGTCGAGCCCTATCGAACGTTTGGCCGTAAATAAGCGAACGCCTCGTGGACGGAAGAGTGAAGGAAACAGAGGAAATGATCAACTTTCCGCGGAAACACACCGCTCCTGCCTAATTGCGCTATGCGTAGGCCTATTTGCCGGTTTCGAAAAGCGATTCGTCAATTCAGACGGGGAAAAGAATAATTGATAAGACTGTAAATGAAAGGAAAGTGCAACCAAACGACGAGAATATAGACACGAGCTTAAAAGGGAATCGGCAGGCGAGCGTAGCTCGTGCTCGAATTTCCGAATTTTTCACTGAGGTCGTGTAGTCATAAATATTCGTTAAAGTTAATTCAGGTTTAATCGATTCTGTAGCGAGGGTTAAATGGGAATTAACTGATTCTTTATTTCTTTCTAGTGGGACAACTTAAAAGGGATGGAAAGTCTTTGTTGAATCCCAGTTAACTTTAACTAGTATTTATGGAAACCGTCCTGTCAAATTCTCACGGGCAAAGCGACGCGTGACTTACACTCCGACGGATTCTTCAAAGTCAGGATAATCGATTTTCGATCACGTGTGAGAAGAGACGAAACGCGAACACATAGATATCGCGCAGAATGCGACCATTTGCGATCTCGAGAATAATGTCACTCGAGTCCAAAAGACGAGTAGTTTCGCGATGCATGGTGACTTGACTCCTTTACTTCTTTCTCTGCCTGCTTACAGGACGAGTCGCTTTACGACATTCTCACACCGATGCATACATACTGCGAGAACGTTAGCGGGAATAAAAATCGTGTCATTCGGCGGCGGCCTCGTGTTTTGGCCGTCTTTGAAATTTTTCGCTTCTCTTCAGCCCCAGGATTATCTACTGTCAAATTGACGAGTTTCATCCTTATCTACTATGCCCGATACTGAATGATACCCTGCATTTAAAGTCGAAGGTCTTTAGAAGTACGTACGAGCTCGTCCTGCGCTTACGTCAAGCGTCACTTTTTTCCTTTTCTCTTTTTTGATTCCTCAAATTGCTTTGGCATTCGACGGAGAACAGGGAAGCGACGCGAAGGAGAGATTAGCAAGTGTTAGCGAAGTTTTGGGTGATGGTTCGCTAAACTGGCGAGAGAGTTATTACGCAACAAGATAGAAATGTGCGAATGCGAATGCGAGTGTGCGAATGAGAGAGTATGAGCGTAAAAGATGTACAAAACGAAAGAGAACAACCAATTGTATGTAATTGCTTGCGTATATGTGTATATGTGTATGTATGCGCGCCAATGTGTAGAAATCTGTGCGTGACGCGAGAATCAAACTTTATGCGATATTTCTTAGTATATTCGCCAGAATTTTTATATAAATTATTTACTACACACAGAGAGTCTTTATTACATATTATCTTTATATTAATGACGCTGCGGTTAATATTATTATTAATGTTAATTATTATAATTATAATTATTATAAGATACGCGCATATATTGTTCTTTCTTTTCTATCGTCGATTGTACAAAAGCAGAGGATGCCGTCTAAGTTTAAATGTTTAGCACGTAGATTATTTGTAATGTTATCATGTATACATATTACATCATTGATTGGTTAACTAATTATATTTTGTATAATTAAGCATAGAGCGGGGGCCGCTTTTTGTGCCACATTGGCGAGCGTTCCTTCCGCCTACATTTGCGATTGAGTCTTTAATTCGATGTGTGCACGAATCGCTGAATAGTCGATGAAGCGCGCTGCGGAGTGAGCGACGTCGATCTTCGCGTCTGCGTTTAACACAAGATGCGTGATAAGAGTTTAAAACGAGAGAACGAATCTCTCGATAGGATACGATAGTAACGGCGGCCATTTCGGGCGCTTTGCCGTAAAAGAAAAAAAAAAATGCGCTCGAGGATGGAAATTTTATTTTTATTATTTTCAGAGGCCATCTCTCTTTTGCGCGCGCGAAATCGCGCCTCGAAATTTCCGCGTGCGGAAATTCTCTCGTCGCGACTCGCGCAAGATGATCGATTGACGAATGTTACCCAAGACATCTCTCACTCGCGCGAGCGCGCTTACGTTTCGTCGATTTATAATTGTTGTCCGCCTAGAGATTTTTGCGTTATCGAAAAACGCATGCTTCTTCTTCGGCTATCGGAGCGACCAGGCCGGCCATGCGCTTTGTAAATAATTTATTAATAAACAAATTTCTCATCGTGCTTTGTGAGTGAGCTTGCTTTCAAGAGTCCTCCTTAAGAGCGCTTATGTTTGCGCTAATGATGCCGGCGCATCATCCGGGATATACATACGCGATTACCAAATGAACGTTATCGAATTTGCACTCGATTCAGCAGAACAAACTGTGAATTCTTCGAACTTACAGCAGGACTTCGAGGTGCTTAAATTCGCGTCGCGTCGCGCAACTTCGTTCGAGGTTGCTTCCAATGAGGGTAGATTCGATATTGGACGCGAAATTGCTCGAGTCAAAAATCCGAGCTTTCCTATTATTAGACACGAATTAGCGTCAGGGCCGGCCCATCCGCTAATAAACGTATTCTTGATAGAGCGATTAATCTGTTTTTTTGATTCGAAGCGCGATTAAAACGTGCAGAAAATATGCGTGCGTGAGTAGTCTGCGACATGAAATACTTGATGTTTTGCACTGAACGTTGAGAAGGATATTGCAGAGCAGAGTATCTATATAAGCAGTGGAAATAATAAAATC